TCACAAGACCAGCAGGAACATTATACAGACATCACACGACCAGCAGGAACATTATACAGACATAACACGACCAGCAGGAACATTATACAGACATCACAAGACCAGCAGGAACATTATACAGACATCACAAGACCAGCAGGAATATATATACAGACATCACAAGACCAGCAGGAACATTATACAGACATCACAAGACCAGCAGGAATATTATACAGACATCACAAGACCAGCAGGAACATTATACCAGACATCACAAGACCAGCAGGAACATTATACAGACATCACAAGACCAGCAGGAATATTATACAGACATCACAAGACCAGCAGGAACATTATACAGACATCACAAGACCAGCAGGAACATTATACAGACATCACAAGACCAGCAGGAACATTATACAGACATCACAAGACCAGCAGGAACATTATACAGACATCACAAGACCAGCAGGAACATTATACAGACATCACAAGACCAGCAGGAACATTATACAGACATCACACGACCAGCAGGAACATTATACAGACATCACACGACCAGCAGGAACATTATACAGACATAACACGACCAGCAGGAATATTATACAGACATCACAAGACCAGCAGGAACATTATACAGACATCACAAGACCAGCAGGAACATTATACAGACATCACAAGACCAGCAGGAACATTATACAGACATCACAAGACCAGCAGGAACATTATACAGACATCACAAGACCAGCAGGAACATTATACAGACATAACACGACCAGCAGGAACATTATACAGACATCACAAGACCAGCAGGAACATTATACAGACATCACAAGACCAGCAGGAACATTATACAGACATCACACGACCAGCAGAACATTATACAGACATCACACGACCAGCAGGAACATTATACAGACATCACAAGACCAGCAGGAACATTATACAGACATCACAAGACCAGCAGGAACATTATACAGACATCACAAGACCAGCAGGAACATTATACAGACATAACACGACCAGCAGGAACATTATACAGACATCACAAGACCAGCAGGAACATTATACAGACATCACAAGACCAGCAGGAATATTATACAGACATCACACGACCAGCAGGAACATTATACAGACATCACACGACCAGCAGGAATATTATACAGACATCACACGACCAGCAGGAATATTATACAGACATCACAAGACCACAGGAACATTATACAGACATCACAAGACCAGCAGGAACATTATACAGACATCACAAGACCAGCAGGAACATATACAGACATCACACGACCAGCAGGAACATTATACAGACATAACACGACCAGCAGGAACATTATACAGACATAACACGACCAGCAGGAACATTATACAGACATCACACGACAGCAGGAACATTATACAGACATAACACGACCAGCAGGAACATTATACAGACATAACACGACCAGCAGGAACATTATACAGACATAACACGACCAGCAGGAACATATACAGACATAACACGACCAGCAGGAACATTATACAGACATAACACGACCAGCAGGAACATATACAGACATCACAAGACCAGCAGGAACATTATACAGACATCACACGACCAGCAGGAACATTATACAGACATCACAAGACCAGCAGGAACATTATACAGACATCACAAGACCAGCAGGAATATTATACAGACATCACAAGACCAGCAGGAACATTATACAGACATCACAAGACCAGCAGGAACATTATACAGACATAACACGACCAGCAGGAACATTATACAGACATCACAAGACCAGCAGGAACATTATACAGACATCACAAGACCAGCAGGAACATTATACAGACATAACACGACCAGCAGGAACATTATACAGACATCACAAGACCAGCAGGAACATTATACAGACATCACACGACCAGCAGGAACATTATACAGACATCACAAGACCAGCAGGAACATTATACAGACATAACACGACCAGCAGGAACATTATACAGACATCACAAGACCAGCAGGAACATTATACAGACATCACACGACCAGCAGGAACATTATACAGACATAACACGACCAGCAGGAACATTATACAGACATCACACGACCAGCAACACTCATGTAACCAATGACGACTCACATTCATTACAACTTCTAGCTGTTACCACATTTATTACCAGTGGGTATCAGTGGTACCATGTTTGGTCCACAACCAAGAAGCCTCCAGAGTCTGGAGGCTTCGTCTAGAGTCCAGACGAATCCTTGGAGAAGAGAAATTAACAAGTCTTCTACCATGTGACTATGCCCTCGTCTGCTACACGTCCCTCTTCACTGACGCCTATATAAGCACCAGTCTCCTTACCTGTGCTTCAGAATCTCTACAACCACGGTGCTCTAAACACCACCTCCAAGGCTGAGGGACTGATTACCTCATCTTTTGTATATAATTCTTCTGTTTTCTTATTATGTCCAAGAATCTGTATTGATAAAGCCACTGGAGGGCGAAACGTCTACAATAAAGATAACCAGATGTTGCACAAGTGTCTTAAACTTTCATCAGTCTTATACCACTAACTATTCCTATTAACAATGAATACATTCCTATCAGTTAGTGGACTGTTTGAGACAGTCATCCTGGGGACGACAAACACAAGACCCCTATTAAAATAACCCACATTGCTTGCCTTTTTCTTGGGGGGGGAGAGGGGGAGGAGGTTTACCCTAGGTTATCAATCATCCTGGTCATTAATCCGAAGAAAGTGATCATCCACAGCATGAAAAAACTAACCTAATACTTCCAGTAACAGACTAATGAACCATTGACAGTAACATTAATGTATCCGGTGTAATTTAGTCCAAGTATTATGTAATGGGTACGGACATTATTAACTATATATAAAATATATATATATATATATATATATATATATATATATATATATATATATATTATATATATATTATATATATATATATATATATACATATATGTCGTGCCGAATATGTAAAACTGGTCAATTAGCAAGAACTCATTTAAAATTAAGTCCTTTTTGAAATTTTCTCTTATACGTTTAAAGATATATTTTTTTCATTATTGTTAATGTAAAAATTTATAATTTTGCACCAAAAGAATCTTAGAAAACTTACCTAACCTTATTATAACAAGAACAATTTATTTCAGCCTAACCCAACTAAATATATTTTAAATACGTTGACAATAATTTAGTACTAAACAAACACAATCAAACATATTTTTTTCGTTAGGTTCAGAATGATTTTGGCGAAATTATTGCATACACAAATTTTCACTTGTCCTATATGGCAAGATGAGCGTTGCTATTTAAGCCAAGATCGCAAGTTCTGCCTATTCGGCACGACATATATATATATATATATATATATATATATATATATATATATATATAATATATATATAATATATTATATATATATATATATATATAATGGCACTAAGTGTACCACCTCAGATCTTTCTTACTGCAGATAATAACTAGCAGAAGGAAGATACATTGTTCACTTACTCTCCGTACATCTAGATATTTTATGTACACAAACACGATCTGATAATTCAGCGTTGATACACAGTGCACTTTTATGAGGTAGAGTGCAGTGTGTGGGGCCAGGAGCTACTAGCTGGCCTCACCCTCACCTGTGTGGGGCCAGGAGCTACTAGCTGGCCTCACCCTCACCTGTGTAGGGCCAGAAGCTACTAGCTAGCCTCATCACCACCTGTGTGGGGCCAGGAGCCACTAGCTGGCCTCACCCTCACCTGTGTGGGGCCAGGAGCCACTAGCTGGCCTCACCCTCACCTGCGTGGGGGCCAGGAACCACTAGCTGGCCTCACTACCACCTGTGTGGGGTCAGGAGCCACTAGCTGGCCTCACCCTCACCTGTGTGGGGCCAGAAGCTACTAGCTAGCCTCATCACCACCTGTGTGGGGCCAGGAGCCACTAGCTGGCCTCACCCTCACCTGTGTGGGGCCAGGAGCCACTAGCTGGCCTCACCCTCACCTGCGTGGGCGCCAGGAGCCACTAGCTGGCCTCACTACCACCTGTGTGAGGCCAGGAGCCACTAGCTGGCCTCACTCTCACCTGCGTGGGGGCCAGGAACCACTAGCTGGCCTCACCACCACCTGTGAGGGTCCAGGAGCCACTAGCTGGCCTCACCTCCACCTGTATTTCCGTTGCATTTCCTAACGTTCCTGGCTGCCACAGGTACCAAGGTACAATCCCGGGAGTGCCACGGCTCTTTACATCTGTTGTCCCTTCTTACCTATTAAAAACTAGGTTCTTAGTAAATAAACCATACCACGGGCGGGGATAGAACACCGCGACGGTCTGAAGTTTTGAGACTCTGACCGCGGGTTCTATACCCACCCGTGGTATGGTTTGTTTGCAATCGTGTCATCACGATTTTGTGAGTCATGCTCCTAGGAGTTACCCGACTATTGTAAGTCACATCCAGTGGAGTCGTGCTCACACTGAGTGTCCGTGGTTCGATCCCCTGTACATGTGGAAACATCGGGCCTGTTTCCTTAAGACACCTGCTGTCCCTATTCACCTAGCAGTAAGTAGGTACCTGGGTGTTACCTGACAGGTGTGGGTCGCATCCTGGGGACAAAATTAACCTAAGTTGCAGGAAATGATCTACATAACCAGAAGCTTTCAGTATAGTATATCACTGATGTGAGCTATGGTCTGTATAAGTTGAATCATGTACTTGTAGAAATAAAGATTATTATTATTATTATTATTATTATTATTATTATTATTATTATCCAGTAAGGGGTTAGATAAATACATGAGTGGGTGTGGGTGGGTGTGAGTTGGACCTGATTAGCTTGTGCTACTGGGTCAATTGCCGTGTTCCTTCCTTAAGTGAATGTGACCTGACCTGACTAGGTTGGGGCATTGGCTTAAGCCGGTAGGAGACTTGGACCTGCCTCACATGAGCCAGTAGGCCTGCTGCAGTGTTCCTTCTTTGTTATGTTCTTATATTAACTCACCTGGCAGGCGTCCTTGTCGTCCCCACCGGCACACAAGTTAGCTGGATACACCATGAAGAAACTACGATGGTAATATATATCTTGACAGGCAGCGTCACTCTTCACCGTCACCTGAAACACCTCACCAATTACTAAGATATAAGAAATTAATACTTTGTATCAGATTTCCTGCGTGTCAGGATATTAGCTTTGTTTACAAATTGATGGGTATTTACCTGGGGATTGGCAGAGAGCATGCATAGTTCCTTTGTATAAAGGCAAAGGGGACAAAAGAGAGTGCAAAAATTATATAGAGGGATAAGTCTGAACATTAAAATGGTATAAAATACCGACAGGTTGTTAGGTAAGACACATGTGCAACAGTTAGGTATCTTTATTTTGAAACGTTTCGCCTACACAGTAGGCTTCTTCAGTCCAGTACAGAAAAGTTGATAGAAGCAGAAGATACTTGAAGACGATGTAATCAGTCCATCACCCTTAAAGTTTTGAGGTGGTCAGTCCCTCAGTCTGGAGAAGAGCATTGTTCCATAGTATGAAACAATATGGAGATGAAGTGACAGGATGGAGCCTATATAGCGCCAAGAGGTGAGACGTAGGTCACTAGGAGAGGTAAGAACTCAGATGTTGGGAGGACAGGTCCCTCTCAAATCCTGCCGTTCTCACTAGTAGAGGTTGTCGAAGTTGATTGTAGGTCTGTACCAAGATACCCTTGTGTTGGACTGAAGAAGCCTACTGTGTAGGCGAAACGTTTCAAAATAAAGATACCTAACTGTTGCATATGTGTCTTACCTAACAACCTGTCGGTATTTTATACCATTTTAATGTTCAATCTGTCTGACACTGCAACACAAGGGTATCTTGGTACAGACCTACAATCAACTTCGACAACCTCTACTAGTGAGAACGGCAGGATTTGAGAGGGACCTGTCCTCCCAACATCTGAGTTCTTGAAAGTTAAGACACATGTGCAACATCTGGATATCTTTATTGTAGTAGACGTTTCGCCATCCAGTGGCTTTATCAATACAGATTCAAGGACATAATAGGAAGACAGTAGAACTATATACAAAAGATGAGGTAATCAGTCCCTCGGCCTTGGAGTTAGTGTTCACAGCATCGTGGTGGAGGAGAATCTGGAGCAAAGACAAGAAGACTGGCGGTTTATATAGGCGTCAGTGGATAGGGACGGGCAGCAGACGAGGGCAAAGTCACTGGTAGGCGGGATTCCCCAGTGGAAGTAGGTCCTTCCCAAAGAGATGGGACCTTCACGGCTGCTGCAACTAACCCATCTCTTTGGGAAGGACCTACTTCCACTGGGGAATCCCGCCTACCAGTGACTTTGCCCTCGTCTGCTGCCCGTCCCTATCCACTGACGCCTATATAAACCGCCAGTCTTCTTGTCTTTGCTCCAGATTCTCCTCCACCACGATGCTGTGAACACTAACTCCAAGGCCGAGGGACTGATTACCTCATCTTTTGTATATAGTTCTACTGTCTTCCTATTATGTCCTTGAATCTGTATTGATAAAGCCACTGGATGGCGAAACGTCTACAATAAAGATATCCAGATGTTGCACATGTGTCTTAACTTTCATATTGTCGGTATTTTATACCTTTCTTGCACATACCTGGTAAAGTGTATGGTAGAGTTATTATTGAAAGAATTAAGAGTAAGACGGAGAATAGGATAGCAGATGAACAAGGAGGCTTTAGGAAAGGTAGGGTGTGTGTGGACCAGGTGTTTACAGTGAAACATATAAGTGAACAGTATTTAGATAAGGCTAAAGAGGTCTTTGTGGCATTTATGGATTTGGAAAAGGCGTATGACAGGGTGGATAGGGGGGCAATGTGGCAGATGTTGCAGGTGTATGGTGTAGGAGGTAGGTTACTGAAAGCTGTGAAGAGTTTTTACGATGATAGTGAGGCTCAGGTTAGAGTATGTAGGAGAGAGGGAGATTATTTCCCAGTAAAAGTAGGCCTTAGACAAGGATGTGTGATGTCACCGTGGTTGTTCAATATATTTATAGATGGGGTTGTAAGAGAAGTAAATGCGAGGGTCTTGGCAAGAAGCGTGGAGTTAAAAGATAAAGAATCACACATAAAGAGGGAGTTGTCACAGCTGCTCTTTGCTGATGACACTGTGCTCTTGGGAGATTCTGAAGAGAAGTTGCAGAGATTGGTGGATGAGTTTGGTAGGGTGTGTAAAAGAAGAAAATTAAAAGTGAATATAGGAAAGAGTAAGGTTATGAGGATGACAAAAAGATTAGGTGATGAAAGATTGGATATCAGATTGGAGAGAGAGAGTATGGAGGAGGTGAATGTATTCAGATATTTGGGAGTGGACGTGTCAGTGGATGGGTCTATGAAAGATGAGGTGAATCATAGAATTGATGAGGGGAAAAGGGTGAGTGGTGTACTTAGGAGTCTGTGGAGACAAAGAACTTTATCCTTGGAGGCAAAGAAGGGAATGTATGGGAGTATAGTTTTACCAATGCTCTTATATGGGTGTGAAGCATGGGTGATGAATGTTGCAGCGAGGAGAAGGCTGGAGGCAGTGGAGATGTCATGTCTGAGGGCAATGTGTGGTGTGAATATAATGCAGAGAAATCGTAGTTTGGAAGTTAGGAGGAGGTGCGGGATTACCAAAACTGTTGTCCAGAGGCTGAGGAAGGGTTGAGGTGGTTCGGACATGTAGAGAGAATGGAGCGAAACAGAATGACTTCAAGAGTGTATCAGTGTGTAGTGGAAGGAAGACGGGGTAGGGGTCGGCCTAGGAAGGTTGGAGGGAGGGGGTAAAGGATGTTTTGTGTGCGAGGGGCTTGGACTTCCAGCAGGCATGCGTGAGTGTGTTTGATAGGAGTGAATGGAGACAAATGGTTTTTAATACTTGACGTGCTGTTGGAGTGTGAGCAAAGTAACATTTATGAAGGGGTTCAGGGAAACCGGCAGGCCGGACTTGAGTCCTGGAGATGGGAAGTACAGTGCCTGCACTCTGAAGGAGGGGTGTTAATGTTGCAGTTTAAAAACTGTAGTGTAAAGCACCCTTCTGGCAAGACAGTGATGGAGTGAATGATGATAAGTTTTTATTTTTCGGGCCACCCTGCCTTGGTGGGAGACGGCCAGTGTGATAATAATAAAAATAAATTACAAAAATATTTTTGAATGTAAAAAAATATGCAGAGTAAGATAAGATTTTGTTCGGATTTTTAAACCCGGAGGGTTAGCCACCCATGACAGCCCAAGAGTGTTAGTGCGTTGCATAACAGATGTTAAATTTAACCAACAGGTTATTACACAGTCTTGCTGCGCAGTTCTCATAGTGCCAGAATCAATGTTAAATTACGCGAAAAAAGACCCATGTCGCTTTAATCCTCTAAACAATAAACTAACAAGAACAACAGATGGTATTCACAACTCTCAGGTAAGACCAACATGGGGTGAGAGGGAAGCTGGCAGACACGAAGAGTACCTCAGGAGAGGCCAGTATGCATGGGCCAGTATGCATGGGCCAGTATGCATGGGCCATTATGCATGGGCCAGTATGCATGGGCCAGTATGCATGGGCCAGTATGCATGGGCCAGTAGGCCTGCTACAGTGTTCCTTCTTTATGTTATGCTCTGGAGAGGATTATATATATAATCCTCTCTGGGAGGAAAGTCTTCAGTTGTAGAGAGCTAAACCCAGCAGGAGAGCATTGTATGGGTGATGTGGAAGAGCGGAGGAACCGGGTATCAACAGTATACATACATCAGCAGCCATGAGGACGTGGGGTAGGGCATCATCCTCTGCCAGTCTGCCCCAGCCTGAGATGGTACATCTCTGTCCAACACCAACCTCCTTCCGCGTCTCCAGGGAGATGGGCACCCCGCCGGTCCCTCCTGCGGGTACAACAACAGTATGAGAGAACAGGTATGATATTCAGGTACACCACGTCCCTGAAACTGTAGAGTTTATCCCATACAGCGTTAAACCCGTGTGACTCATTCAGCTAGTTTAACTAGTTTAAGCATAGTTTGATTTTCCCAGTAACTAATTTAAATATAGTTTGAGCTGGCCAATAATTAGTTATTCTAAACGTATCTAAATTATATTTAGTTGTATCAGGCTAAATTAAATTGCGCTTGTTGTAATAAGGCCAGGCAAGTTTTCTAAGGTTCTTTTGGTGCAAAATTATTAATTTTTAAGCATAGTTTGATCGGGCCAGTAACTAGTTTAAGCATAGTCTGATCTGTGACTACCACTTACTGTAACCACCACTGTGACTACCACTTACTGTAACTACCATTGTGATTACCACTTACTGTAACTACCACTGTGACTACCACTTACTGTAACTACCACTGTGACTACCACTTACTGTAACTACCACTGAGTACCACTTACTGTAACTACCATTTACTGTAACTACCACTGTGAGTACCACTTACTGTAACTACCACTGTGACTACCACTTACTGTAACCACCACTGTGACTACCACTTACTGTAACCACCACTGTGACTACCACTTACTGTAACCACCACTGTGACTACCACTTACTGTAACTACCACTGTGACTACCACTTACTGTAACTACCACTGTGACTACCACTTACTGTAACTACCACTGTGACTACCACTCACTGCAACTACCACTGAGTACCACTTACTGTAACTACCATTTACTGTAACTACCACTGTGAGTACCACTTACTGTAACTACCACTGTGACTACCACTTACTGTAACCACCACTGTGACTACCACTTACTGTAACTACCACTGTGACTACCACTTACTGTAACTACCACTGTGACTACCACTTACTGTAACTACCACTGTGACTACCACTTACTGTAACTACCACTGAGTACCACTTACTGTAACTACCATTTACTGTAACTACCACTGTGAGTACCACTTACTGTAATTACCACTGTGACTACCACTTACTGTAACCACCACTGTGACTACCACTTACTGTAACCACCACTGTGACTACCACTTACTGTAACCACCACTGTGACTACACTTACTGTAACTACCACTGTGACTACCACTTACTGTAACTACCACTGTGACTACCACTTACTGTAACTACCACTGTGACTACCACTCACTGCAACTACCACTGAGTACCACTTACTGTAACTACCATTTACTGTAACTACCACTGTGAGTACCACTTACTGTAACTACCACTGTGACTACCACTTACTGTAACCACCCTGTGACTACCACTTACTGTAACTACCACTGTGACTACCACTTACTGTAACTACCACTGTGACTACCACTTACTGTAACTACCACTGTGACTACCACTTACTGTAACTACCACTGAGTACCACTTACTGTAACTACCATTTACTGTAACTACCACTTGTGAGTACCACTTACTGTAATTACCACTGTGACTACCACTTACTGTAACCACCACTGTGACTACCACTTACTGTAACCACCACTGTGACTACCACTTACTGTAACCACCACTGTGACTACCACTTACTGTAACTACCACTGTGACTACCACTCACTGCAACTACCACTGAGTACCACTTACTGTAACTACCATTTACTGTAACTACCACTGTGAATACCACTTACTGTAACTACCACTGTGACTACCACTTACTGTAACCACCACTGTGACTACCACTTACTGTAACTACCACTGTGACTACCACTTACTGTAACTACCACTGTGACTACCACTTACTGTAATTACCACTGTGATTACCACTTACTGTAACTACCACTGAGTACCACTTACTGTAACTACCATTTACTGTAACTACCACTGTGAGTACCACTTACTGTAACTACCACTGTTACTACCACTTACTGTAACCACCACTGTGACTACCACTTACTGTAACCACCACTGTGACTACCACTTACTGTAACTACCACTTACTGTAACTACCACTGTGACTCCCACTTACTGTGGCTTTCACTTTGACTACCACTTACTGTAACTACCACTGTGACTACCACTTACTCTAACTACCACTGTGAGTACAATTTACTGTAACTACCACTGTGAGTACCATTTACTGTAACTACCACTGTGACTATCACTTACTGTAACTACCACTTACTGTAACTACCACTGTGACTACCACTTACTGTAACTACCATTGTGACTACCACTTACTGTAACCACCACTGTGACTACCACTTACTGTAACCACCACTGTGACTACCACTTACTGTAACCACCACTGTGACTACCACTTACTGTAACCACCACTGTGACTACCACTTACTGTAACTACCACTGTGACTACCACTTACTGTAACTACCACTTACTGTAACCACCACTGTGGCTACCACTTACTGTAACCACCACGTGACTACCACTTACTGTAACCACCACTGTGACTACCACTTACTGTAACCACCACTGTGACTACCACTTACTGTAACCACCACTGTGACTACCACTTACTGTAACTACCACTGTGACTACCACTTACTGTAACTACCACTGTGACTACCACTTACTGTAACCACCACTGTGACTACCACTTACTGTAACTACCACTGTGACTACCACTTACTGTAACCACCACTGTGACTACCACTTACTGTAACTACCACTGTGACTACCACTTACTGTAACTACCACTTACTGTAACCACCACTGTGGCTACCACTTACTGTAACCACCACGTGACTACCACTTACTGTGGCTACCACTTACTGTAACCACCACTGTGACTACCACTTACTGTAACCACTACTGTGACTACCACTTACTGTAACCACCACTGTGACTACCACTTACTGTAACTACCACTGTGACTACCACTTACTGTAACTACCACTGTGACTACCACTTACTGTAACTACCACTGTGACTACCACTTACTGTAACCACCACTGTGACTACCACTTACTGTAACTACCACTAAGTAATGATCAAACATGCACATCTACGAGTCATCCATCAGTGTTTAATTCTCTAATATAGAGCCCCTCAGACTCTATCATATCACGAACGATTAGTTATCTGTTTACTTTCGATATTACGTATTACCATATTCTCTTCCTTCACACACTTCAATTAGTGGCTCCTGCCACTTTAAAGTTAATTTATCTTGTTCAATATTTTCTCCCAAATTGCCATTTAGGTCTCTTACAGCAAATGTTCTCTGTTTTAAATTTCCTAAATATCTGTTTAACACCAACCATAATCTCTCCCTCTCCTCCATTTTCTCACCCACAGGTTCATAAACTCTTACTAAATCCCACTTCTCACTTTTTATTTTTATTCTAATCCACATTAGTCTTGAATTTAGACACTTATACAGATGTCCTTTCTTTCCAGAGTTGTTCATTTAATATTATCCCCATTCCCTCTTTACTTGTTTTCTCATATAACCTGATTTAATCCCATGTATTCCTCCCCATTCAAACACTCTCATCCATTTTAACTTTGGTTGACTTCTAGCACATCCAACTTATTATCAATTATATCATTAATAATCCTTTCTTTATAATTTGTATGTCTATCAATACACACACACACAAGACCAAAATGGAACTAGAATGTGGGGAAAAAGGCTAAATAAGTTGTGCAGCACATTGGTGGAGAAGTTATCTGCAGAGAGCAAGAAGTGGGAGTTGTGAGGTCTTGTTCCTGAGGCAATGATGCAGAGTTTGGTGGAGGAACTGGAACTGTTGAAGCGGATTATAGAGAAGAGGACTGATAGGAGCAAGGTATATCTGGAGGGTGTTTGGGGGTCAATGCCCCTGTGGCCCGGTCTATGACCAGACCTCACAGTGGATCAGGGCCTGATCAGCTGGGCTATTACTGTCAGCCACACAGAAACGTGCCTACTACATACACAGAACAATACACACAAATATAAACCCTCCACTCAAACTTCTCATCTACTTAAACAGGACACATGACCACAACACAAGACACACATCTATTTTTGATATACCTCGTGTCCATATCACACTGTGTAAAAACTCTATGCACATAGGGGCTCTGGTGGCCTGGTGGTTAACGCTCTCGCTTCACACGGTGAGGGCCTGGGTTCGATTCCCAGCCAGAGTAGAAACATTGGACGTGTTTCTTTCCACCTGTTGTCTATGTTCCCCATCAGTAAAATGGGTACCTGGGTGTTAGTCGACTGGTGTGGGTCGCATCCTGGGACACTGACCTAAGGAGGCCTGGTCACAGACCGGGCCGCGGGGGCGTTGACCCCCGGAACTCTCTCCAGATCTCCAGATAAATATAAAGGGCCCCAAAATATGAAATTCATTACCAGAAGATATTAAAGTAACCCAGTCTGAAAACCAGTTAAAGACTCTTCTCAAAAGCCACTTAATCACCCTAGACTAAACGCTAAATACTCAGTACACACACACACACTTACCTATGTACTCCCACATCATAACTTCAACAATCACTTTGAACCTTTTATCCATTGTTGACAGAAATATAATTGAACCATTGTTTTCACAAAAAGCATTTTAGAATATAAGAATCATAATGCCTAGGCATAATAGAGGCTCTCATTGCATTGCAACCCAATATTGTCAATGTAAAATCTCAATGTACTGTTTGCTAAAACATAAATAAATAAATAAAATACAAACCACAGCCCAGGTGGCCACGTACTGACTTTAGGTGCTGGGGTGCAGGAACATCAGTGGGCAGCAAGGGGACTGAAGGAGGGGAAGTATCAAAGACGGGACGTAACAAAGACGGGAAGTAACAAAGACGGGAAGTAACAAAGACGGGACGTAACAAAGACGGGAAGTAACAAAGAAGTCTCTTGAGGAAATGGCATCAAGCTACCAGGAGGTCTGGGAGATGATAAGGGAAATAACCAAGGAAATACTTAAATCAGACCCAGAGATATAGAGAGAAATGAAA